CTAGGTACCCTGATGTCCACCAAAAAAAAAAAAAATAACCCTGAAGGCATATTTTCCAGAAAAGCAGCACCCTGATTGCTCAGTGTTGGGAAGTTATACAGTCTGAGTGTTCAGGGTCGAGAAGTCACGATCAGGGTACGTGTAGTAACGCGCTGTGCATTATCGAAACTGAACTTTGATGGCGAATCTGTTCTGTGAAAGGGCGAATGTGCAATGTCAGATACATTTTACTGTGATTGGTCAAGACCTTTGTGCTCTGACAGCTCAAATCTGCTGTGTCAGGGCCATTTCGCTGTGATTGGGCAAATTCGTTGCTCCGTACGGCGCGAATTCGCTTTGTCAACGCGAATTTTTAATGACGCTGGTGCTGTGACCAGTCAAGACGGGTTTGACTCACCAGTTTGACCCTCACTAGTGAACCTCGGAGTATCGAAAGAAAATTTCGAGGAACCTTCCTCCCGATAAACTTGCATGCAGGGTCCACAGAACGCATACTCTGTAGTGACAGACTCCAGAAATGACTTACACTGAGGCCTATTACACTGAATCAGGGGCCATAAAACAATAACTCTGAGGCTCTCAGTGATGAAAATTTGACTACCCTGGAATTCCATTTTTCACAAACTCGATGGTCTGATCCGTCAGACTAATCAGACTATTTACTCTGATAGCGTCAGCCCTGCCTCAAGGACTTAGGCAAAACAATCCCATTTCCAATTGTTTTGTTGGAGTGGGAGGTTCTAAAAATTGGCTTGCTTAGCTCAGACCCCCTCAATACACCCCTTGGGGAACTATCACAACCATGGTTTCCATGGTGGGATGGTTCCTAGGCTTGGAGCCTATGTGGCAATTGTGTTGGGTTGGAAAACCCAGCTTAGAACCATTCAATGGTTGTGTTTAGGATAGAGTAGGTTGTAACACTTGTTTAGCAGTTTCTGATTGGTTGGGATTCCAACCTTCAACATTCTCTTGGTTGATTTGGAAATGTTCCAAACCTCCAAAGTTGAGGCTTGGCAAACCCAAACCAAGTTTCAACCCAACCAACTCAACCATCTTCTCCAACTCTTCCTTTGTCAAGAGAAGTTCTCAACAATAGACTTAGAGAGAGATCGATGGTTGTTAGCTTGGTAGTTAGGGTAATACGTTACAGTGAGACCCATTCGGCTATCGAATGCCTGGAAATTCCGGATTCGCGCGACACTTCACTGACGTTGTGGGTGGCTTCGAGGCGGTCAACCCACTTCAGCTTCTCGCCGGCGGTGTACGAATGCCGTTTACGTGTGGTAACTTTGCTTATGGGGGAGGGGGAACGGGCATCTCGATTCGAACGTGAGGGATGAGGGCGTTTACGGTTAGGAGGGGGAAACGAAGGGATGGGGAGGTGTTCAGGCAGACCGTCACGTGACCAGTATTCCACGCCATCGTCGTCGCCCTCTTCAAGTTCTGGCCAGTCGTCGTCGTCTCTCCATACACGCTCCGGGTACGGGACCTCTTGGTTTTCTGCAAAGCCTCCAGTCTCAGCAGTCTCAGAGGTGTTGTCGGCACCGGTTGGCTCGCTCACGTGGTGGGCTGGGGCAGCATCTGGTAAGAGCACGGTTAGTATGGGCTGACCTTGCATAAACACGGCTGGAAAAGGGGGAGATGGAGGAGCAGGTGGCGCCGGCGGGGCTGGTGGCGCTGGCGGGGCTGGCGGCGCTGGGGGAGCAGGAGGAGCAGGAGGACATGGGCGCTGCCATGGGTCAGCGTGGCGGCCACGGCAAACACCAGGTGTTGGAGGTCTTCTGAAAAGAAACGCCGAGGCAGGTAATCCTGCCATGGCGTAGGCTATGGGACGGGTGGCGGAGGAAGCATGAAGGCTTTGAAATAATGAAATGAGGAGGATTCTGGCTACTCCCTCAAGACCCCTGCGAGAAAGGCGGCCCGGGTTCCTCATCGGTAACACACGGGCATCGACCTGGTCCTCGCAGAAGAACCAGGTGTCAAACAGGGAGGCATGGAAGGACGGAAATCTCTTGCATTCCCGTCCTATTCGACCGCCCTTTCACAAACCCTGCCTCGTTGGCAGAGATTCACTGAACAGGGACACCTGAACCCGCCGCACACCTCAATCCAGCACCCGGTGGCCTCAGCATTCGCCGCCTGTAAAGGCGATTGGCCAGACGTGGGCCAGACTGGATGCGTTGGCACCCAATTTTGCCCTCATGGCCATTTTCTCAAAGTTTCGACCACGTGACCGACTGTGCCCACCCCGCTAATGAAACCGCTAAGGCATTCTGTACATTTTCATGGCCCTTACACTAAATTTTATAAGTGCCATTTATTTACCCCATGGGGTTATAAATTTTACCACATTATAAGCCCGCCCACCATTTTCCCATGTTTTTTTACACCCCACCTGGGGGTATATCTGGGTGATGACGGTATGTTTCTAGGACCAAATAACTTCACAATTAGAACTACTACTTATTTCGTTGAAGAGCATTTATTGGAGCTTGTTGAGGAGCATTTATTGCAGATTGTTGAAGAACATTTATTGCAGCTTCTTGAAGAACATTTATTGCAGCTTGTTGAAGAGCATTTCCACCCATGCATCAGTAACTCCTCCTTCACACCAATGAAGGCAGTCATTCTTCTTTGTATCTGGTGCTCCACCTGTGGCAAAACGGGGGGTCACACACGGAAGTCACAAAACATGTCCCACATACAACAGATTCCTTCAATACGGCAGCCAGCCAGCAAAGCTCTCCACTAAGCATTACAAATTCGTGTTCACTTTACCTTTGACGCTCCAGTTTTGAATGTGTGCGTCGGGGCGCCAGTCGCTCATGGGCTTCACATCCACGTATGCCACCGCTGACCCCCCCAGCACACGCTGCTGGATGGCCCGCAGCTCACTCGTTGCGCCATCTCCATCTCGAACAGTCGCCGTCTGGGGAGGCAGGTTGGAATGGAGGCAAGGCAGAGACGTCGGGAATGGAGGTGAACAAAAATGTGTCGTGGAAAATAACGAAAACTCTCTATGGAACTTCTTTCTTGTAAAAAAAAAGGCTTTCTTATCCCTCCCTTTCCCTCTGTTCTGTCTTCCACCTTTGCTTCCCCCTCTCCCACCTTCACTTCCCCATTGCTCAAGCTATTCCCCTCCCACCCGTGCTTCCTCCTCCGATTCACGCTCCCCCCTCCCGTCTACTACTCTTTCCCCACCCACCTGCGCTCCCCCTCCAACGCTTCCCCCCTGAGCTCCCCCCCCGCACCTGCGCGCTGGTGAGCATGGAGGTGACGTTGCACTTGCCCTTCTTCACGCCCCTCACGGGCAGGTTGTAGTGCGACGGCGACACGCCCATCACCACCGCGCGCCCCTTGAACTTGCCGCTGCTGCGTCGGCTGCTGTCCGCCACGTAGTCCCGCAGCGTCGTCAGTCCGCGCTCGTACGCTGCCGTTGCCTTCATCGTCACCTCCGCGCCGCCCACGTACCACCGGTTGATGGGCGGCAACCACCACGCCGTCGCCTGCGCCGCGCACACAGCACGGGGGGCGATGCGCCGGGGGAAGAGAGAAGCGGAATGGAAGTTCGAAGAAGGCCCGCTGTGGGCTCTCATTCCTACGCTGTGTGTTGTGCCAAGCGGAGCTGTGCGGGATGACGCGACGGCAAGCGCGGATGCGAGGTTGGGGACGGAAGCGGGGTTGTTCGCGGAAGTGTAGTTGGGAGCAAATGCGAGGGCCGGGCGCGGACGTACCTGGAAAATGACGATGTCAGCGATGGGCAGCACGTCCTTGATGCGCTGATCCAGGCCGTCCAAGTCGATGCGGTGCTGCTCGATGCCGTTCTTATCGGGAAGGCTGGAGGCATTGTTGAGCCAGTTGGAGAAGACGGACACGAACCGGATCTTGTACGTCGGGAACTGCGCACTCACACGCCGGCCGACACGCCGGGCCACAAGGCGGACCACAGAGAGAATGATATGGCGGACGAATGCCAGAATCAGATGGGGAGGTGTGCGCAATGGCAACATGGGAGACGCAACGCAACGTGGCAGCGAGTGTATAGTTGGCTGTGTCTTTTAAGCGTTCAGCGTCTCAACGTCTCCTGCACGTACCTCGACGCCCCACTCGGCAGTTTTGTTTTGCGCCAGACGGTACGCCTTAGCGGCGGCAGAGTCGGCGGCGTACAGCATGCACTGCAGCGACGCGGCGAAGTTCTTGGAGAGCGAGTCGCCGAACACCACCACCAGCTTGCCGCGGAGCAGCTCCGCCAAGCTCCGCGGCGACACGCGCTTCACAGAGCACCCCTTGGGCTGGAGGGGGGCGAGGGGAGCACCGCGGGCAGGCGAGAGGAGAGAGCATGAACGTGCGCGAGGTGGTGAGATGAGGGATACCAAGACACTAGTAGTAGTTACACTAGTTGACGGACGGACGCACCTGCCAGCGGAACTTTTGGAACGACATGTCCGGGCGGCCCTGCTTGAGGCAGTTCTGCGATGTGCGGATGTAGGGACACGAGCTGCCCGTGTAGAGCGGTAGCGCGCTGTCCGCCACCCACTTGCCCTGCGAGATGTCGCAACTCCATGGCGACTGCGCCGCGCACCCTAGGAGGCAGTTTAAAAGGACCATTACGAAAATTGAAGACTCGAGTCTATATGTCGCTGCCATCACGTTGGCTTCCCTGAGAAGACGCAGGGTACACTAAGACGGGTGTTCCCTGCCCTATTCACGAGCTCCTGAACTCTTTCTGCTCCCTTCAATCAAGCCTTCAATGCATGAGCTGTGTGTTGTGTGTCGCATCTATCTCTCACAATCTCGAAATTCCTGGTAACTGAAGAAGTTCGAGTAAGTCACAAACGACGATTGATTGTCCAATATCGACCACCGTACTGTACCAGGAGTTTTGCATCCAAAACCTACAGAACCGTTTTCAGCTCTTCAAAAAATACGAACCTGCGCACGATCGAACCTGGCAACGTGACGTGTGCCGAAGGACCCCATCCGAGTGATTGACGAACCGCATGAGAGTTTGCATTCCCTTCTTACCTTGCAGTGCAGCACCCACCCACCGCAACAATGCGCGGGCTGGTTCAGTTCAGTCAGAAGACTCATTTCGGCGGGCGGCAAAAGTGTAGCGTTCCCGCGCAGAATTCACACAAAACAAACATGCACCAAACCAACCGAACTTGACCGTTGATGATATGTTAGGTGAATGTTTGTTATTCTAAGGAGAAAACGTTTCCACTCTTAGCGTCACACCGCATAACGCGTACAGTATTATCTCCGCCATTGTACACCTAACAGTGGTCCGTTACCATATCGCGACACTCGCCTCGACCTTGATTCTGCCACTTTGTAACACTTTTCTGCTCGTAATCGCCATGCAGCATTCATTTGGGGTGATTGGTCGGTAGGAGCGAAAAGGGAGTGTTACCCTGACGATCTTCGCGAGTAGTTGTGCTTGGTTTCATTCCATACCAAATGCATGCTGAAATCATATAATTGTGCGCCCCGTCACCGTCTTCCAAAGCACAACGCGCTCACCTCGCCAACAACACACATACGAGCGGCTCAACGATGTTCCAGATTCAGCATCGCGGAGTCTCTATCTCACCCTGTCAGAGACTTGCTCCATGTCATTTCTCCATTACTTCCACGGCAGACCTGGCAGTTATCGCGGCAACGCATTCCGCGGCTGTCCCGCTACTACACACTCGCTCTCTCCGCAACTCCCGGCCCTTTCAGGCCGTAGCCGCTTCATTCTCAAGCTAGGCAAGCTCACCACCATCGCCCCGATCCACAACCATAAAAGGAAGTCCCACACGCTTCGAAAAAGCATCGCCTGTTCGTTTCCTTCACCACGGACAGTTTTCTTGAAGATAGTAATCTTCCAGCGTTTGAATTGCAGCATTTCCAGCAGTTTCAAACCAGACACGTGATCGAGCTAACCAACCTGTCCCGACGTGCAACCAGCAGCTCCAGCCCCACCCGCTGACCCCGTTCAGCCGCAAACCTCCCGCCACCATGGCCCGCCTTGGAGGCGCGCCCGCGAACTCGCCGCTGCTTCTGCTCTTCCTCGCCACTCTGCTGCCTCTGCTCGCCGCGCCGGTTACCGCGACCTTCTTCTCCGCGCCCACCTTCCCCGACTTCTCTTTCGACGCGCTTAAGAACCTCGTGGCCGGCAAGAAGCTCCCCGCCGGGAAACTGCGCGCCAAGTCCAGCCCGCGCGTGAACAACCTGGCGCAATCGTGCGGATACTTCTCCGACGCGCCTTACTTCTCCAACGGGCTCACCGCGCTGCTGCCCAGCAACCTGTACAAGAAAGGCGACACGTGCGGCACGTGCTACGCCGTGGAGTGCGCGGGCGGCGACAGCTGCAAGGAGGACAACGCGACGGTGACGGTGCGCGTGGTGGGATCCGTCGGATGGTTCACGCTGCACCGCGGCCCCGTGCTCTCCACCCAGGCGTGGGACCGCATCGCCAGCTCGCGCGACGGGCGCGGCGTACAGGTCAAATTCAAGCGCACCAACTGCAAGAGCCCCAGCGGGATGGTCGTGCGCGTGCGCACGGGGTCCAACAAGAACCGCTTCCGCCTGCAGCTGCTCGGCACTAAGGGCCCCGGTGCTGTGCGCCTTGTTGAGGTGTCGGTCGACGGCAGCAAGTGGACGGCGCTGAAGAGGGAGCGCCGCACCACCACGTGGCAGCTGCTGCACCATAAGGATATTGCGCGGTCGGGAAAGCCCATCAGTGTCCGCGTGACCGCCGACAAAACGGGGCAGAAGGTCGTCCTGGACAAGATCATCCCCGCTAAGTGGACTCCGTCTAACACGTACGGGCCGAGCCTCACCAATTTCGACGAGATGCCGGCAAGCGTGGAGTCACCCAAGTCGTCCATCACGAAACGCACTGACGAGGCTTCTTCGACAGAGGGCGCCCCTTCGGCTAAGCCCGTTGGGGAGAAGCAAAGCTCCAGTGAGGACATCAAGGAGCTGGCAGTCCCCAGTGCCACCCCTCAGGCTGATTCCAATGCCCCTGTGGAGTCGGACTCGTCAGCGTCCGGGCCTCGCATCGCGTTTGAAGAGGACGAGGCAGAAGAGGAGTCCGAATGGGGAGAGGATGAGGAGGAGAATGGTGGCAGGAGCCTCGCGGAGAAGGAAGATGCGGCGGACGAGATGGAGGACGGGTGGGCGCTGGGAGACGCCGGCTGGGGGGACGACGAGGCGCAGCGGGAGGCGGACGCTGAGGAGCGTGCGGAAGGCAGGAGCCTGGCGGAGGAGGGGGAGAGCGCGGCGGAAGAGATGCAGGGGAAGATGGCGGAGGAGGGTGAGGAGGAGGAGAGACGCATGCTGGCTGAGGGAGACTGGGTGGATGAAAACGAGGCGAGCGACGAGGGCGAGGAGAGCGAGGAGGGAAGGATGCTTGCTGAGGGAGAGGAGGTGGTCGAGGACGAGGTGGACGAGGACGATGGCAGGGTGCTGGCGGAAGTGGAGGCAGTGGGTGAGGAGGCCGGTGGAATGGATGACGTTGACGAGGTTGACGAGATCTTGATGTCCAGGAAGCTTCAGGATGAGGAAGAAGGGATTGAGCTTCCGCGCAAGCTGGCTGACGACAATGAAGAGAACAAGAACGAGGAAAAGAAGGAAGTGAAGAAGCCAGGGGTTCTGAAGAGGACGGCAAATGCGATCAAGAACTTTTTTAAGAACCTCGGTGATCGCATCACTGGCAAGCGCAACAAGCCCGCCGACAACAGCCCCCGCAAGGCAGGCCCAACGGAAGCCAAGGAATAGCTTATTGTGCTGAAAGAGAGATTTGAGAATTGGATGTTAGTACGATAGTGGGGTGGGTGGTTTGAAATAAGCTTGTGTTTTCATAGGAGTAATCGTGGTTTATGTTTTGTGAAAGCTTAGCGTATTTTTCGTGCTTCCTTTCTCATGTGGCAAACTTTGCTTGATTTTCAACTATGTGGGGTTTCTCAAAATTGCAGAATGGTTGTTTCTAAGAAAAGATTATAGCTAGCTGATGAACACACAACAGCGCAAATTTGACCAGTCACATTCTCCGAATGGATTGGTCGGTGATTTGAGGTGGGTTTCTAGGTAGGCTTCTGTGGAGCAGAAAACAAACATCACCGTTTGCGAAGCACCATCAAGTCGCACTGTGCTTAGGATTTCGCTCACGTCTTTCGCATACGGCGTCCGCCAGAAAACAAACATCACCGTTTGCGAAGCACCATCAAGTCGTACTGTGCTTAGGATTTCGCTCACGTCTTTCGCATACGGCGTCAGCCAGTCAGCTCTTCTACAAGGGTCGTTGCCTGATCTATCGCTTGAACATGTGGGCATTCAACGCTAGTAGTGCCCGAGCCGCATTCCTACATTCGGTCGCTGAAATTCTGAGATGCACTTTGAAATCCAGTACATATGCTGCTTGATTCCAGTGATTCAACCACAAGCTTTCAACTTTTGAAACGCCCATTCCCCTCGACTACTACTTAACAGCTAGAACTATTACTACAAGAAAACCGCAGTATCAGGCCCGCAGCTTCATTTCAGCCCAAACTCCTCCTGGTTAACGACATGGGGAGCTCTGCTCAAATTATGCTCATCGCCGCCCTCCTGGCTGTCGCTGTCGCCGTGGAAGGAGCCATTCTTGACGACACTGTAAGCATCAGCTCCGAGGATGTGGACAAAGCGCTCTCAACCCTCCGAGCGTCTCCTTACGCCAAGTCGGCCCCGATTCTTGAGAGGTTTTGTAAGTACTACGCGAAATCAATTCTCAAATTCCCTTGCCCGTATGCCGCCACGTTATTCAGAAACGCGTTACTGACAGCTAATTAATTTCCCACCACGTGCTGTTTCCGAATGCGTTGGCAGTCCGGACGGTTAAGCGAGTGAATGGAACCTCAAAGTCAACGCCTGTGACGGTTCTTCAGCCGATCAACCCGCTCAAAGTGGTGCGCAACTGGTGGCGCTTCTCCGCGGGTGAGCGCAGGAGTGTGGCGCGTTACCACATGCTGAAGGGCGTGTTCGGCAAGAGAAAGCTCCGCAACGCCGCGCGCTTCACCAAGTTCCCAACATACGAGGGCGGAAAGGTCACCAAGCTGTCCGGAAAGCTCTTGCCCTCCGTGATTCTGAAGGGCGGCTCGGACATTCTTCCCGTGGTGGTCGTCTTTCCCAACTTCTACGTCACCAAACACTTTGCGCTGCACATCATCTCCAGCTCCTTGACCCCTGGCGACGTTTAGTTCTAAAGCGTCACAGTAAGGGTTTCGGACAGCATTATCTAGCATTGCAAAACATCTCGTGCATCAGCTGTTTCCATCTTGGCTTGACGCTCAGCTGCGCGCTGTATCATCATGGCAACGGCTGATGGGCGAGAGGAATGACCCGAGTTTGGATTCACCTTCTTCTGCAGATTTCGTATGTGATAACACCTTTTGTATCTTAATATACCCGTATACAAAAACCATTTACACACCACACGTTAAGAAAACAAAACTTTGGGATAGGTTGAATAACGCAGGGAAATTACTATTTCCTTATGTTGTACCTGATCGCACCTGATCCCAACGCGTACAACATAGCACACCAAGCCTCGACCGTTCTTCGCCCGTTCCCAGCCGCCAGTGACCGCTACACAGCATGCCTAAATTGTTACGAATAGTAATACTTGAATATTACTGTGCACTCCTCACTGCAGCAAAGAGAATTGCGCAGTATCGCGAATGAACGCGAAGCGTCAGACGGTTGGAAAGGACTCGAAGCGTCAGACAGTTGGGACGCATCTGAACCGTCGGAGAAGACATCATGAGGCAGCTGCAGGCACGATGGTTTCGGCGGGAACAGTTTCGTAACTGTTCGCGCCGCAAAGTTGGGAATGTATTTGAATAAGGGAATGTACTGTGAAGAATGAGGAAATGAATGAACTAGCAAGCAGGTGGGTACAACTAGGAAAACCTAGAAATGTTGTACCCCATATAGTCTACCCCACTACAACCTACACAGACTATAGCATATAAGTTTGACACACCCCCATAGGCAAAGTGGGGGAGAACAAGGGGTCACAAGACCAGTCATGTAAAACAAAGCAAGCTCAGGGTGGATCACAACGTCACCACACAATCCGAGCACAAGAGCAAGGCCAAAAGGCCAGTTCACACGCAAGATCATATATAAAAGTAAACAGGCAAGTGCAGGTATAGAAAGATCACAGTACAAGCAAGGTCAAGAAGTGAGCAAGTGAGGCCAAGTAGGCACAAGACCTAGCATCGTACAGAAGCGCTGATGATCACCAAGCGGAAGTGCCTTGGTAAAGATATCAGCAGTGTTGGCCTCAGAGGCCACGTACGCAAGCCGCAGCTGACCATGCTGCTGCAGCTCACAAGCAAGGAAGTAGCGAAAAGCAATGTGCTTCGTTCTTTGCTCCAGTATGTGCTCCCGACACAAGGCTAGCATGGCCTTGTTGTCTACGTACAGAAATGGAGGAGAACGAGGCGGCTCTCCTAGGTCAGTCAGCAGATAGGTGAGCCAGCGTAGCTCCTGTGCAGCCATGGCCCCCGCGTAGATCTCAGCCTCACAGCTGGAGCGGAGAACAGAAGACGAGCGGGTAGACCCCCACGAAACAGAGCCGGAGCCAAGGCTGAAGGTGTAACCCTGTGACGACCGCTGCGTAGCCTGGTCCTAAGCCCAAGAAGCGTCTGCGTGACCTGTGAGGACCACTAGACGTCGCCCTCCAAGCACTAGCCCCATGCCCGACGTACTGCACAAGTAGCGCAACACCCTCTTCGCTGCAGCCATGTGCTCTGGTCGATGTCTCCCAGGAGCAACATATCGTGCCAAGATGCTTAGAGGGTATGCAAGGTCAGGTCGTGTGCAGGTCAACAGGTACATGAGGAAGCCAACAAGCTCTGGGTACCGGCCACTCGGCTCTACGGACTCATCCGAAGGCAGAGCTGAGAGCGAGTGGCGAGTAGACAGATGAGTGGCCTGAGGCGAGGAGTACGTGAAGTCGAAGCGCTGAAGGACCTGCTGCACCATGTGTGACTGGGTCAGGGTAATGGTGCGCTGTGCTCTGTCCCTGGTGATCTGCAAGCCAAGGTAGCTGCGCAGTTCACCCAGGTTTGTGCACGTGTGTCTCTTCTGCAGCTCGGACTTCACGTGGGCGAGTCCAGCAGTGTCAGCAGTGGCAAAGACCAAGTCGTCGACGTACACGAGGATGTAGAACGGCGGCAAAGAGGTGTCGGTGCGCAGAAACAGTGACGGGTCGGCAGTAGATGGAGCAAACCCAAGAGCCGCAAGTGTATTCCTCAGTGTGTCGTGCCACTCACGGGGCGCCTGGCGTAGATCGTAAACTGGCCGCCGGAGGCTCCACTGGGTACCAGGAGTAAACGACCCAGTGAAGCCAGGTGGGCGGCGCAGCCAGATCTCCTCGTGCAGGCTGCCCCGAAGGAAAGCTGTGCTGAAGTCAAGAGAGTGAAGCTCGTAGTCGCGCTGAGCGGCTATGTGCAGTAGCACCCGAAGAGTGGTCATCTTCGGGGTGGGAGAGAAGGTCTGAAAGTAGTCAACTCCCTGTCGCTGACTGAAGCCTCGAGCCACGTAACGCGCCTTGAAGACAGGCGGAGAACCCGGTGGCCGCTTCACCCTGAAAATCCACATGCCACTGACGATGTTCGCCCCAGGTGGGGGAACCTCGTCGACGTAGGTGCCTGTGGACTTCCAGGAAGCCATCTCTGCGTCCATGGCTGACTGCCACTGTGAGGAGTAGGGACCCTCGATCGCCTCAGCGTACGATCGAGGAGTCGGGATGTCTGGTGCATCCGGGTCTCCCTCAGGGGCAATCAGCGTGGACACGAGATGAGGCAAAGCAACAGCAAAACACAGGAACTCCTCCTGCCTGTCCTCAAGGACGACCGTGCTAAGAGCACACTCACCCCCGACGGACGGAGGACAGACAGACTCAGACTCAGCAATAATACTAGCAGCGTAGTCAAGACGACAACGAGCAGCAAAGTCGACAAGCTCAGCAACTAGGGCCGACGCAGTAGTGGACTCAAAGGAAGGGTCAGTGAAAACAGTAGCCAGGAGACGCGTGACTGTAGTACTGGCAGCACGAAGAGAGTCAGACTCCGGGTTAGCAAGAACAGGAAGAGAGGACTCTGGAGGAGACGGCAACGGGACACGTAGAGGAGCAGTGGAAGGACGCAGTGCCATTTGGTGTTTGCTTGGGACCGCAGGAGGACGCGGACGCGGAGCACGACCACTAGTGCGAGCAACACGAACAGGTGACGCAGGACGAGACGCAGGCTCATGACGCCTAACAAGACCTCCAGTAGGACCAGTGAAGGGAGAAGGAGCAGGCAGAGGGGAGGCGGGCTGTAGCTATGACTACGACTGGACAGGCTGTGGACCCTCTAAGGGAGGAGCAGGACCAGTAGAGGGCGGGAGACCAAGAACCTGCTGAAGGGGCGGAAAGAAGTACGGCCGCGGCCGCGCAGCGCCTCCAGAACCAACAGGGACAGCACCAGAACCCCCAGCGGCAGCACCAGCGCCAGCAGGACCTCCAGCTCCAACAACGCCAACCCCAGCACCCTCACAAGCACCAGCGCCAGCACCACCACCAGCGCCAACACCCACAGCAACTCCAGCTCTAGCAGGAACATCAGTCCCAGTACCGCCAGCAGCTCCAGCAGGACGTCCAGCAGGACCAACTCCAGCAGCCCCAGCAGCATCCCCAGTCCCAGCAGCTCCAGTACCACCAGTACGAGCACCTCAAGCTCCAGCAGCAAGGG